TTGAACATTTTGAAGTAACGATGGTTGTTTGGACGAATCATCATCTTTTGATTCTTGTACAGTTTTAACTGACAGCTCTGTTTCTTCATCACCCTTGTCTGTTCGACCATCACTTAATGATGGGAATGACGGCTGAGTCAGAGCGTTTTGTACTGTCTCACCAGCATGTAGAATACTATCCTTGAGTGCACTGAATAAGCCTGGCTGTTTAGATGGTTCGCTCTCATCATACTCTTTGTGATGGGCGATAACTGAGTTTTCTGGTGAAGTTTCATTTACTGCTTGTTGTTCTGTGCCTATTAAGAATAAAAACAACTTTTGGTAGCTTATGTTTCGGAAAAGATCAAACTTAATAAATTAGTTGCTAGCCTTTGTACAAGTTTTAAATGTACTTCACTTAAGTCAATATTTGTGAACTAAAGATGTATAGATGATCAGTTGAAATTTTGTGAAAGGTCAAAATCAGCTATAAATATCAAGTATACATAAGCTTCTTTACCTTGACAAAAATAACAATGAAACGAAAAGTTATTTTATTTTATTGGATTGATCCGTAGTACACTTACTTTTTTCGATGCTATGTGATATATACTTGTTTCAGGGATTTACAATATTTCTTTGTATGTTATACAGAGCATGGACAAGTACAAGTATCCCATGCTCTGGTGTTACACTATTCTAACGCTAATCAAGTATCAATTGACTATAGTGGAATGTAAAATGAATGAAATCTGAAAAATCTGTCGTTAATTCCTATTTGATCTTGTCGTAAGTGTTTAGCGTAAAAGAAAAGGAATCTGACAAGTCAAATACAACTAATTTCTGACTAATTCTTCGACACTGCCGAAATCAGGTTAAATTAGAATGATAACTGATACGTTAAGATCAAGAGGAAATGACATGGTACGGCTTTGTTTCACTTAAGTAGCTAGTTTATTAGTTATTAACGGCATTAACTTATTGGCTGATATTTTCCTTCTACCGATATGTCAGCTCATTGTCAGATAGCTTTATCTCATTATCACAAGGTTAAGGTTAAAGACATGTCTATGATTTACCGTGTATAACGGCAATATGCAGTTATTAGCCCAAATAACATAGAAATTTAGTCTACTACAAAGCTTTCTAGCATCTGTAGTTTTAAGTTGTGCAGAAAATTTTTTATTAAAGAAATAGAAAGATCTTTTTTTTACCTGAACGTTTTGTTTTGTCAAATTTGATCTGGACTGGTGTTCTTCTGAATAATTCCTCGTGTTGATTATCTGAAGATAAATCATCCCATTTTGAAATCACGGTTGCTTGTGGTACTTGAATTTCATCTAATGATTTGGGTATGATATTGATCGATTGCTCTTTATCAACAGATTCTCCTATTTTATGACTATCAGTTGTTTCTCCGACTAAATCGTCCCAGGCAGCGGATGAGAGCATTTCATCGACATTTAATGGAGTCTGATGCGACTGAGTACTTTTCTGTTGAGCTTCAGATAATGCGTCGGTAGTAGCTCTGGAAACCAATTCATCGGCTATTCGACCTAATTCATTAAACGATTCATCTTCAGACCTTCCTTCGGATAGACTATCGTCTTGTGAAGTAGAAAGTGTTATTTTTCTCACGCCGTCTTTATCATTAATCAATGATGAGCTGCCATCTTCATGATCAGTTATTTCATCTTCAATATCGTTTAGTGTGTCATCTTGACTTTCAATATCATCAGTAAGATCATCGATTTTATTTTGAATATTTTTCATTTCTTCAAGTAAATCAGATGCTTTTTGATCAATAATTTCGCTATTATTAATAGCTGTTAGTTTCTCATCATCCGAAAATACTCTGCTAACAAACGGTTTTTCTTGTTGATCGTAAACTTCAGTAGAACGTTGTTGGATTATATTAGAATCTGACTGATTACTTTGTATCTGACTTACGTACGGTTGATTAGATGATATTACTGTCCGTGTTTGTTCTGATGGTACTTGACTAGCTGAACGATCGAAGTCTGATATAAAGTTTTTTCCGGAGTAATTATCCCTATTGATATATGTCGAGGTGCTCGAAATAGGCTCCTCATGTTTAATTAAATTTCGATTTGATTCAGTGATATTTGTCGAACTTTGTGCTTGCCATGGAGTTGAAGAAGAAATCATTGAAGTCACATCACCGCTATTCTTGTCATCGTTTGCTATCCGAATGTCATGAAAACGACGTGCATCGTCATTTGTCGGTGTTTTTCTTCTATCATATTTATTGTCCACAGATCGACGCTTTTCGAGCGTAGTTGTTTCTGTTGGAGATCGAGAGTATGTGTGATTGCCCTCTATTAGCGATGCCGTAGGTGTCAATTCTTCTGAATAATCATCAATGTCTCGTGAATCCGAACGATCTGGACTAATATATTCATTACGGTAATAGGGTGTTGAATCATTTTGATATCGACCAGATGAACTCTGCCTTGAACTCGTTCCCGATACTGTACCGGATAAAATTCCATCGGTATCGGTTATTATTGAATCTTCACCTGGTTTTCTCTTACGTTTTGTACGACGTTTACGTATTTTACGAAAATTTCGTGATTCTGATCTTGATCGATCTAATTGTCGACATGATTGAAGTTTATCTTTTTCATAGACTAATTCGTAGACAATTTCTTCACTAATTGTGGGTTCCGTTTCTTCAAACTCTACTACTTCTTCAATTTTTAATTCACCTTCTATTCGACATATTGGTTTTTCACCCCATCTTTCAATTAATGTTGGATAATGATTAATATCAGTTGTTTCAAGAATTTCTTCTGATACTATTTCATCATCACTACTATCGAGATAATGTCGGCGATAATTCGATGGTGAACGATAACGTGAAAGCGATGGATATGATGGTTCGCGATTATTAGAACGAGTCGGACTTGTAATATGTGTGTCATAAACATTTAATGAACGCTGTGGTGTTCTAGTATTGGCTACCGATGATGTTGCTGAGTTAATATTGGATAAGAGAGAGCCAGCGGTTAACGACGATAATGTTGAGACAGGTTGTGATATTACTGATGGCCGAGTATCTGAGCGACTTATGCGAGATGTACTATCGTACAGTTGTTGTTGTCTTAAACGATGATCCATACTGTTATTATTATTTCCAGTTTTCAGTTGTAAATTAGTCTTAAATAGTTGTTGTTCTGATGTAAAAAAATTTTCATTACTAATATGATCTGCGGACAGCGCCGCTTCTACTACGCTTTCTTGTTTTGCTCTAACTGAATTAGAATTTGTTTGTGCTTCTCCGATTATTCTTTTTTCTTCTTTTTCGTCTTTTTCTCGGTTTTTTACTTTTTCACCTATCTTTATTTGGTTATACATGATTTTTTTCGGCTCATTTTTTTTCTTCTTCTCTTCTTCCTCTGTTATACCTCCGACAATTTTGTCCACGTCATGTTCTTCGGTACTTTTTTCTGCGCCGATATCATTATTCAGTATGTTACTGTACAGTTCTTTTTTATCATTATCATTCTCATCCAGAATTGTTTTACCGCTAAAAGACTTTTTGCTTTTTTTCTCATCATTTTTATTACTACTACTACTTTTATGGATGATTGTCGATGTTGCTATGAGGGGTTGTTGTTGTTCTTCTTCTGTTTTCGTTTTACTAACAAAAATGTTCTTCTTTTCTATATTATCATTCATTTCCCTCTTTCTTTTTTCTTGGGTGTAATTTTCGTTCTCGGCTAAAACTTCATTAGTGTCGTTTAAGTTATTATTTGCATACTCGTCGATACTTCTTTTCTTTTCATTGTTGTTTAATAATGTTGGTGTTTGTACATCAGTAATTTCGTTTTTTCTACGTTCTGTTGCACACTTTTTTTCTTGTTCTTTTTCTTCTCGATTATATTTATTAGTTGTTGTTGATTGAGATTTTTCTCGTTGATTCGTTTCTTGTTCTTTTTTCCATTCTTCCTCTAGTAGTTGTAGATTTTTATCATTCTCTAGCATAATGCTCTTGTTAGCGGTGGTAGTCGATGTTGCGATGTTCATATTATAAGTCGTATCATTTTTCCTCCTCTCATCATTTTTATTTGGTTGTTCGAGTGTAGGCGTTGTTATTACCTTAATCGCATCTTGGACATTATTTTTTTTACTTTTATTATTACTATTATTAATTTCATTTAATAAATCTTCGTTTAACAACTGCACGTGCTGGCATTCAATTTTTTTTTTCATTGTTTCTGTGGAAGGTTCTGAATGAGAAAGAAAAAAAAGAAAAATATTGGGATTTAAGTTTTATTGTCTCGAAATTCGTTTTGTGTGCATGCAACGTCGTGGTTTGAAATTTCTTTTTTCTCTCTCTGTTCTCTTTGATTCTTTGATTCGTAAACGCAAAAGTAAATATTATAACAGACGACATCAGTCACTATAGTGTATATATGTATGTGCTTCACAGAGGCATTTTACTATTAGTATTATTAATAATAGTACCTGCAATATCATTCATTTGATTAATAGGCGTTTCTGTATCGCTTTTGGTGAGAAAATTGACTTTTTCATCAACTACCATCGTTGATGATATATCTTGTTGTTCTGTTGGTGCTACTGTTGATGTACAAGTATCATCATTATTCTTATTTTTGTCTTCTGTATTGTCAGTCCCCTTGAAATTGTTCTGTTTATCAGAACCATCTGTTTTTGTTCGTGCTTCATTTTGTGTCGAAAATATCGACAATAACGGATTAGTTGATGATTGTTTTGCATCATTAAATACATCTTTTTCGTCTTTTGTCGTGGATTGTGTAGAGACAGGCGATTTCTGAGATACATCTAGTGAAAGAGAATAAAATGATAAAAATATGCCAATTATCATACGACAGAGAAAGAGTATAGAACCCACTTTCTTGCCATCAACAAAAAGCATTATTCAATGTCTAAATTTTTTCAAAAGAGTTTTTTGCCTGTCAGAATAATCGGCATCCGCTCTAAGATAATGGACTTTTAAAGAGAATGAAGGTTTAGTTAGTATAATCACAGATGTTTCATTGGAAGTCTAATGTATTTCTAAAATTATCATGATCTAAGATTAAAATTACGTCTTCTTATTAGATGCATGTTTCTGGCTTTGTCTGTGTGTAAGTAATGGATATAGTCTGAGATAGGTTTTAGGCATCAAATTTTTAAAATTTTTAATCGAGTTTTGTAACTAGATAGGTATTTATTTTATGTGTGAATGAAATTGCATGTATTTACAAAAGTAACATCGATAGTAATTGACTGTCAGAAAAAATATGAGAATACCTATGTATAACATATATTTTCATATTCCATGCTGTGCGTTCTACACTCAACTCATTAAAAATTATTCTGTCATTGATGTTTGAAATAAACATCAATTGATATTATCGCCTTAAGAAATATTGACAGATTTATGTAACGTGATGAGACACTTACAATAGGTAGGTATAAACGAATATGTCATGTTTATGAAGAAAATTGATCGCCAGCAAAGCAAAGCAACTTAGATTAAACCGACTGGTACATTTTTCTCATTGCAATTTTACAGTTAAAAAGGTAGAGGGAGCTTCTAATTTTTACGGTCTAATGAATGTCAACTTTCTGACAGTTTAACAGAGCGACAACCAATCAATCGAATGAGACAAAACAATACACAATCTATCTTGTCCGTATAACAAAGGCATTGCTACAAAATAATAACAAGTTTTTGCATGCGAAGGATTTCTTTATCGCGACGTTGACAATGAACCACTGAAACAAATGTCTACTTTTGCGCCCATTAGTACTCAAAGTACTTTGAATTCAAAAATTACTATGCACAAAGAGATGCAGATGTATAACTGAAAGAATTAGGTGGAACTGACCTTGTTAAGAGCGATGGTTTATGCACTTTCACACCTTGGTCAAAATGCAAGAGGCGCCTCCCCAGATCACATGTTTTCCACAGTTATTCTGAAAAGCTTGCAACAATTTGTCTACTGTCTCAGAAAGAACAAGGTTCTAGAATATAGCAACTATAGGAAGCAATTTATAAATTAGGAGAGCGATACTACATCGCCAAGACAGTTATTAAGGATGACGTGACTGCACTGTAGTAACGTTTTTTAGGCATATCACTGAGATAGATAACTTATATTTATCTTAACTGGAAAAACAGAATAAATTCGGCTTTTATTACCTGGTATTTTCGTGGATATATGGTCAATGTTTGTCGAGAATTCTTCGAAAACATCTTCGTGATCTAATGACTCATATCGTACTATTCTTTTTGCATAATATGATGGTCGATATTGATATTTTCGTTGATATGGCGAGTAACTTTTTAATGATGATGCTGAACCAGTTCTAGGAGTTGCTGTTGTTGATGGTAGTTGCTGTGGACTAGGTGATGGTGTCTGCCGCGGTGAATATGAAATCATTTTCAAAACATCGACCATAATGCGAGTGAGCGAATGAATACCACTTAAATGTTGATGAGAACCAGGACCCGATTGAGAACGTATTCTCTGCGATTCATTTTGATGTAACATGGACGATGGCGGTTTAGTTGTTGGAAATACAAACGCTTTACCGGAATACGTACGTTGACGATTTCTGTGTTGTGAATCGTTATAATCGTTATCGTATGCACTATATTTCGATAACGGAGAATATAACGAATGATTTCTCATGGCATTTCGTGAATGATAAGCAGGCACACTCGAGTATTCATTTGTATTAGCATCACCAATAGTTAACGAACGCTTATGTGGCTGTTGTTGTTCCTGCTGTTGCCATACTCTATTCCAACTTTCTGGCTGTGAAGCAGGAGTATTATTATTATTATTATTATTATATCGCTGCTGATACAATGGCTGATAATTAGGTAAAAGTGGTCGAATAGCAGGGTGACGGTATGACTCAGAATAGTGGCGCAAACGTGAATCGGGATATGAGCGTCGAGGATGAGCTAATTCGGTTCGGTATGTTGGAGACATGTCTATTGGCTTGAAATCAGGAGCATCCGGATTCAAACGACTATTAAAAAATGTCCGCTCATCTACTTTAACATAAGTTGAATGTTTTGTATCATTGTTCGCCTTCGAAGTCAAGGAAGTTGGAGTGCCTATATGTAATAGTCGAGCTAATTCTTTACTAGCTTTGTTTAAATCCATGTTTTTCTCTGATCGCAATGTTTCCTGCGGAAGGCCGGAGCCAGTACCTACGGTTTGATGATGTTGGTGTTGCTGTGGTGGTTGTATCGATGGATTAAAACGGTGGTGGGTGTTTGACAGTTGTGATGTTGATTGATCTGTATCATTATCTTTAACGCTGACAGATGCACGTTTTTCATCGTTTGACAAAATATCAGCTACAGATACTTCAACAGACGTAGACGGTAAACGTTTTGAAATATTAGTAATAGTTGTTGTTTTAGGACTCTGAGGAACGGATGAAGAGGTACGAGGAGACAGAGAAGCATCAGAAGATATTAATGATGCAACTTTTGCATCAACTGTAGTAGATGGTTTAGATTTTATTCCACTTTGTTTCTTGTTACTGTTTTGTCCTTGCTCAGATCCAGTTGATGAAGCATATAGGTTGTTACTGGCTACATGATCGAAATCAGATCGTAAATCATCAGTTGGTTTTTTTGACATTTCAGAAATAGGAATTTTTGAAGGATTTTTTACATTACTCGATTCTTCATCGGTGATTTCACCTTCTATTTTCAATTCACTATCATACTTATTTTTTTTCACAGTTGACACCATCTTTCTCGTCTTGTTCTTCTTCTGTTCATTTAAAACAAATTCATTATTAAACTGTGATTGTTCTGGTGGATGAGTGTTGTATGGGATCTAAAGCAAGTAAAGAAAAACAAACAGAGTATAAGTTTTGAGATATTATTCACAGTTATCTGAATTTTGTTGTGTCGTTCAATATCATTTCCTCGTACGGCATGTGTTTTATGAGAAAATCAGGTTAGATACATTTTATACACTACGCAAAAATCGTTATATGATATATTTTCATCTGCCATTTACATGCTATCCTGTTTTTTTCAGGTGATATATTGTTCAGAAACGCTCTTCTGTAATCCAAAAACCACAACATGATCTTTCCATGGAAGCAGTGCTGCGGCAAGGGAAAAGGCAGGGGAAATGTGTGAAATTATTGGAAGAAAGTATAATGCATTGTATTGTAATTTAATATCACTAGTTTGACAATATGTAAAAGTAAATTTCTGGGAAAAAATGGTATTTGAAGAAAATCCTTTTTCCAAAGGAGAGGATATACATGCATTGACACTGAAAAACAGTAAGAGAATTGTTTATTAAGCAAATTGCCATGCCAAAAGGCAAGCTCATCGTTTGTATTACTGTCTTTTCAATAAAAGGTATATAGTATCTGTACATGTTAAACCAAATATTACAAAAGTCACTGATATTCATGATATCAATTGGATTGTTGACTTTCTTTTAAATGAAATCTTCACATAGTAATAACGCGTCATATAGATGTTACAGAGAAAGAAGCACCACAAGAACGAGTGGATGACTCTATAAATCATAAGTATTGCTATGTTTTGCATAATAATGAATTCACAATTCTTTCCGCGTAACAAAATAATCATATGCAATAAGGGAGGAAAAGGAAAGAAACGTTATGATTAGAATAATTCATTTCGCATATTAAGTACAAAAATCAAAAAGGTAAACTCGTCGTATTTGAATAGAAAAATTAAACTTTTTAAAGGTTCAAGTGTCAATAATCAAGATACAACTTCAGAATACAACTTCTTAAAAAGACGAATATCCGAAATAATCAGGAGCATCGACTTTGACAACCAATATCATAAGGCTGTTTCACTTAATCCACACTCACAAGGCAATTCTACTTTTTAATAGTAAAAATAGTAAAAAAACCAATTTTTTTCGTTGTAAATATTGTGTTGCTCAAAGGATTAAAAAAAACATCCTATTTTTTTTTTGTACTTCATGTACTTCTGACGATAAACATCAGAAAAATATTTTTCTTTTCTGTTCTATGAGAGAAAATGTTTTATTCCATCTATCAAAATATTTTTTATTAAAGTAATCTATGCTGCTTTCAACGAATAAAAATATTTCCACCTCACAAAAAAGACTTTAATTGAGAATTATGCCAAAGGAGGGGGTCGCATAAGGCTGATGATTGACCCACTTAATTTTTTGTGTAAAAACGGTTCTTAAATAGTAGACAAGTATTTTCAGTCAGTTTTAAGCAATTTCGTGTACTTTTGATAAATAAAATCCGAGTAATTCTTCGTCAATAGGGCACCAATCGCTCGTCTCTCAAAGATAAGCTATAGGTTACGTAAAGGTAGTTTTCTCATGTTTCTTTTACGTACGACAAACAAAAATATATCATTGAATAGCCTCTAGAATTCTCTACAGAATGTGTGTAAGGCAACAGTTAACCGCAGTGTTTTAATAGCAGTAGAGTACTTACGAAGGAACCGCCCCAGGTGCCCAACTCCGATTTCCTTCATTCATACCTCGTTTTATAAAGCACATCGAGCTAGTAAAAAGGCTAAAAGGATTTTTGTTTATGGCTCTTGAAGTCTCGGTTTTCTGCAAAACCAGTTTTGGAGAAATTCTAAAAAATGATCAAAACCTTTCATAATGAGGCATAATTATAGCCCGCACATTTCTGATTAAAATGAGACGTCTCCCAGCTCTACATAATCTTCTTTTGCAAAGTTATAGAATTTACAAGAAAAGTCCTAAACTTCTGACGTTATATCGTTTTGGAGCTCATGAAATTTGCCACAAAGTAGCAACTTCAGAATTTCAAGAGCGGTGGGACCAGTTCTAGAAAATGGACCAGAAGTGAACCGACTGGGGAAAAATGTGACATATTTTGAGTTTCTACTATTTCTTACACTAGTGTTACTAGTTAGTAAAGAAACATGTACGTTTTGTGTTAGATATCATTTTAAAGCTCGTGAAATTTTTTACAAACTAAGCTGTGTGCGATATCTTGATCAGTAGGTTCAGCTTTTGTAGTTTTAGTCGGGGTATCAGTTTTGCTGAGAATCCCAAGACTGGTATTAGGTGACTTTGGATAATCTCTCAAGTAAATAAGTAAATAGAAGCACAGATTATCGACCATACTGAATCTCGTGGCAAAGATTTTTTTCAGGACAAAGTGGGTAAACCTAGTGAAACTGAGTTTTGAGGAAAATCCACCAATTTAGCTATAATTATACAAAAGTAAAATACTCCAGTCTCCCTCAGAACCCAATCAAACTGCTTGAAACTCTCGTAATATGATCAGACGAGTAAAAAATTAAATAGTTAGAATGCCAAAAACAATTCTAAACGAATATATTCTCTTAGGATGGATTTCAAGAAAATCTGTGAAAATCCGAATAATAAGAGAATAGATGTTCTTACTTTTCTGACTCTGTCAACATGTATATCAAGGAAGAGATAGTATTTTCTAGAAAAATGTATGTTTTGTTGTTTGAAAATACTTGTCTACTATTTACAGAACGGTTTTTAGACCAAAAATGAAGTGGGCCAATTAGTAACCTTACGTGGCCCTCTCCTTTCATAAAACTAGTCTGCAGAATGCAGGGCACTAGAATAGTCTAAGTATATTTTTAATATAATTGAAAGACATTTTTGTAATATCATTTTACATAAAAAACGACATTTTGATACTTCACAGTATCATCATCAGACTAATATGACTGTCAAGTTTAGAAGAGAGATGATATACACTAGTTGAAACAGGAGAGAACGAAAACACTAGAAAATTTTAAAATAGAAAAATATGTAGTATAGAACTGAGTGACTGTTACATTTCTCTATTGATGTTGTCTGATGATGATACTGTAAAGTATCAAACGTTCGCTTTTTATGTAAAATTATTTTACAAAAATGTTTTTCAATTATATTAAATATACTTAGTATTATAAAAAACGTAAAAAAAGTAAAAGAATATCAATATATTAGAATAGTCTAGCAAAATGCAAAGCTTTAAGAATCAAGAATCCATCATTCGTTCTCCATGTACACCACTTGATACCTACAGCTATGAAACACGCTCATTGTAAAACTTAGACACTTTTAACGAACAAATTTTCTACTTTTTACGCTACTTTTTCTTTCAAAGTTTATATCGAAGAGCAATTGAAACGGAAAGTAAAGAGTCTGAAAATTGCTTATTCATTTTTTTTTTTATTGCTGTATTCGATTATTTCTTATACAACAGTACCTATTGTTTTTAGTATTTTGCATTTTTTATAATCGCTCCAAAAAAGGTACCATTCATACAAAGAGAAAAAAAAACTTTGATTTTGTTCTAAACGAAAACTAATTCTTTCAACATTAGAGAACTATGTAAAGAAGTAAACATATTTAAGTGATAAATCAGTTTTTTCTTGAAATATACTTTATTATATATAATTTTTTATGCTAACTATAAATCCTGGGTGCTTCTACAGATCCGATCTTTTGAAAATCATCTCAAATAGTCGAATCAAGAGATTCTAGTACGACTAGAGCAAATTGAGTTGTCTACGGCAGAATGTTTTTTTTTTGAAAACTATCAAGCAAGCTTTTATCGTTGTATGTTGTATTTAACTTGTTGAATAAATCGAATTAAATTTTTGAATTTTTGTTCCAGTATAATAGGCTAATAAAAAATAAAATTTTGAACAAAATGAACGAATAAAAAACCTTTTAAAATAGCTGCACGATATGTGGTGAACGATGCTTAATTGACAGCAAAATGGTAGGGAAAACAGTTGATTCGACTCATCAACTCAAAGAATCTTGATAAACACAACTGCTTATGACTTGATAATTTAGTGTACATATCCAAGTTCTATATGAACTGTACTGTACATAATACTTAAGCTAAAATATGATCATAGGGTCCTTTAGTGGCAAAAAAAGTAGATGATATACAATGTCCTATAAGCTGTTGTACTTTTTTCTGTTTTAGTTTCTTTTTAGTAAAAGTATTGTAACACTTTGTGAAAGTGGCCAACTACACTTGAAATTCTTAGATTAAAAAGGTTAAGACTTGATAGAGTGATTAGCGTATTGTTTAGGCTATATGTGCCTAAAATATTAATATTATACAGAAAATTCATTTAAAGAAAATGTTCTTGTTCTGATTAGCTGCGAAATATTTATTTTGTTCTAAAAAAAATCCTCTTATACTACTACATGATTCTTTCATCTGCAAGGTCTTTTGTACCATAGTCGATAAGATTTTTCCGACTTCGTCTTTTTGCAAAGAAAAGTGTAGCCTTTTAGCCAAAAAATAGACAATCTTTCTTTATTAGAATTGAATAGAGTATGTTTTGTATTACAAAGATGCTCTTTCATAGTGGCGTACTCTCCTGAAAGGTTGAGAAAACACAACTAGAAGAAAAAAATTCCTATGCTTTCCCTCAATGCCATTCATAAATATCAATTAGACTCTATTGCATACTAAAAAAATTATTATTTGTAATTTATAAATTTATTTTTCATATTATTTTTGAACAAATGACGATGAAATGTTGAATAATCTTGCAGGTGGCCAAACAGCAGGATTAGTATTCATTATACCTTTTAGCTCTCTTAAATGACATTTGTAAATGTATCATATATGATCTTGCAGACGTTAAACTTTTGTACTCAAAACGATGAGAGTAGACCAAGTAAACGATAGATTCTTTCAATCTTTGTAATTAAAGTTTCTCAAGTTCAATAATGAAATAAAAAGGTGATAGAAATATACTAGTTTCTAACAGAAAAAAACTCTAAACATTATGAGAAATTGTGTGTACGTGTGTTATTCAAAGGTAAAAGTATATATGGAAGATGGATTTTGCTGTTTTTGAATCTCCTTCATTGAACAAACAATAGAAAAACTTGCTTGTTATTCTAATATGTAGGCACATTCTCTGGAAGCCAAACAGTATGTTTTATCTATCATTTGCTCTTATTTTAACAATTCATAACATCTAGTTGGCAAATAGTAATCAGAAAAAGGTAATTAGAATTTCTGTATTGACTACATTACTGTCAAAAAAATAAGACAAAAACGTTTGTACTCACGTCGGTATAAATATTTGATTGTCGATCATTAACGTCGTGTTGTGATTTTATAGTAAGTAAGTTGTTATTGTCATGCGTTTGGAATTGATCATTGTGAAATGCGGAAGTTATGTTATCTGTATTTTGATTATTATTAATAACGTTGTCGGTAAGATTTTTTGTATTATTTTTCTGATATTTTTGTTGTTGTTGTTCATCAAATGTAGAAATAATGGTGTTCTGTGTATTGGAATTATTATTTTGAAAAAAATGTGTCTGTTCAGTAGACGTAACTCTTCGTTGTTCTTCTTTCTTTTCACGTTCAATATTTTTCTCGTCTCTATTGTTCTGCTTCTTTGAAATTTCCATCGTTCGTCTACTATCATGTGGAATAAAACTATCGTTATTTTTTTCAGACATTGACGACCTATTTGGTTTTTCTAAAAGTTTTACTTCATCATTCGGCTTTTGTCGTTCTTTTTCTTCTTTTTGCATGTTTAAATTTTTATTTTCACTGCGTTTTTTCTCTTCTTTTTCCTGTTGTTCTACTGCTAAACTTTTTATTGGGATCACTGTTTTATCTTCTTTTTTACGTTGAGTCACGTTAGAAGTGGTACTAGTAGTGGTAATAGTGCTGTTTTCTTCTTCACTAGTTAATATTTTTTTCCTTCTTTCAATATTCTGTTCTTCGACGTTTTTACCATCATTTATTATGTTACTACGGGATAGAAGATTTATTAAATCTGATGAGTTATTAGAACTAGTTGAGACAAGAGCGGAATCTTTTGGTTGAAACTGGTTTTTATCATTGTTTTCAGATTTTATAGAAACATTACTAATTATAGGCTTTTTTCTCGGTTTTCTTCTTCTTTTAACTGATTTATTATTTGTATCTGTGACTAGTGGTAAATTTTGATCATTTCTCAGTTTCTCAGAGGGTAGCCGATTTTGATTGATATTGTTAATATCTAACTGTTTTGTGTCTTCTACGTTATTAATTTTTGGTTTACCTTGTCTATGTTGTTCAGGTTTTTGAAAATCAAGGTTGTCTATAATTTCTGACATTTTAGAACTCGATGATAGATTTTTCTCATTATCTGTAGCAATTGTATCAGATTGTCTTATTATTTTTGTATCCATTTGCTTTGGCTGATCTACTATATTTATTGGATATTGAGAGACATTTGAGTGTATTATATTGTCAAACGAAGAAGAATCGATAGATTTATTCATGTTATCACCGGGTAATTGTTCATTTTCGACAATTGTAGAAGGTACGATGTTATTTAAAGTATTCAAATTTTTCTTTCTACGTTGTTGTTTTGGTTTTTTATTTCCTATTTGTGGCATATTTAATGTTGACAATGTTTGATTCAAAGGTTGACTATTATTTAATTGAGAATTGTTGTTTAAATTTGTTGTTGTTTCTGTATTATTGATGGTAGAGCGTAACTTTCGTTTTCGTCTTTTATTTACTTTCAAATTGTTACCATGCAGGACGTTTGGAATCGGCTGAGTGATAACAGTCAAATTTTCATCCTTATCATGAATCGGCTGAGTAGTAACAGTCAAATTTTCATCCTTATCATGAATCGGCTGAGTAGTAACAGTCAAATTTTCATCCTTATCATGAATCGGCTGAGTAGTAACAGTCAAATTTTCATCCGTATTATTAACCGACTGAGTCGTATTAGTAGAAATTAAATCAATAGAAGAATCTATTTTTAAATTATCACTTGTTTGAGTGTCGACACTGTTTACATCCGATAATAGTAATTTTGGTTTTTTTCGTTTTCTTCTTCGTTTAGATTTAATAATATTCGTTTCATTATGTAGATGATCATCATAATTTTCTTCTTGATTTTCATTCAAATCATTATTTTTATCTACATACGAAGAATAATAATCATTAGTATTATAACCATATGGATAATTTTGATAAGTCGACGAATATCTTGAATTTGAAAATGGATGTCGTTGAATAGCTGGTTGTTGATAATGATATCTTCCTTTTTGTAACTCTTGATAATAATTATTTGGTGGATTATCATATAATGCATAAAGATCGGCTGGAGAATGATAATAATCATTATTATTATTACTAAACTGTGGTGATGTATCATCAATTGATTGTTGTTGATATCGTAGTTGCATATGTTCAATAATATCTGCAGTATCATGTCCAAATAATGTATGCCAATAATTTGGATCAAAATCATCTATATGAAATATTTGACAAGTATTTGAATTATTTGATGGTGTAAATTCGTTAATATTAAATGACCATGATGAATATAAACGAATTGATTTAAATATTTCAACTGTACCATCATCATGTAAAATTGTTATATCACAATAATCATTATCATTTAAAGCAAATTGTGAACGATATTGTTTTAATTTATTTTCAAATACTTTTTGATTTGATCCACTATTTTGTGTTGATCGTCGTTTTTTACGAAATACTGAACCACGTCCACCAATTTTTGTTGTTGGTATATGTGCCAGTTGTTGATTAAAATTAGTTGTAATTGTACTAACCACATTCTCATTTAATGGTTGAATTTCATCAAATTTATTTGCCATTCTAGTTTATTATCTAGTCATTAATAACATAAGTTATATGATGAACATTTATTTTTGACAAATTTTTATTTATAACGACTGTCGACTGTATTTTATTGTCCTACAAGTAAAAACAAAAAAAAAATGAAGAGGATATCTATCAATATAAGTCATTCATTCACTCATTTCTTCATTCATTCATTCGTCTATGACAAACAAAATTAGAAAAAAAAGAAAAAAGAATAAAACGTGTATCTTCTGCGCTAAATATCACTTTCCGATTTACCTTCAAAATATAAATAACAAATCAGTCTGTACAATTGTACATAGTTGATTATACAGGTATAAACCACGTGTTGAGTCACATCATGGTTACAATAATTAGTCGCAGTCAATCGATTTACTATTTTGTCTCTCATAATAGACACAAGATTTATACAAAAATAAAAAATATGAATGTACAGAAGAGATAAAAAAAAATATTTTGTACACATTAAAAAACCACGAGTAATAGTATGAGGTTTTTATCAATGTCATTTAATATAAAAGAATTTGTAAGGTTTATGTTACGTTAATTTATACTATATTTAAATTTATTACTACTTTAGATATCTTTTTATTTATTTAGTATATCATAACTCAAAAAGTTATTGAGACATTGATTCTAGTAGACAAATCAATAGAAACAAAAAATTAAATTTCTAATTTTGATTGTACATTTAGCTTAGATATAATATTGTTACTATTTTTTGTTTAGCATCTCAATGTGCATCTCTCTTATCTACTTTATCAAATTTAATTATTCAAAAAAAAACATTCGATGTTATGGATCTGATTATTAGAAAAAAAAAAGTATTTTCTTTGTTTAAATATACAATTTTGATTAGATGAATGCTAAAGATATGATCCAGCCCTGTCTTATTTGATGATATTATAATTTTTGTATCTACAAATACCTATCGTAAACGTACTATATAATTACAATTTTATTAATTCACCAATGATAAAAGTTAACATTAGAGTAGAGGTATACAATACGTATTTACTTTTTAAATACTCGACGAACTGAGAGTCAAAAGATAAACAAAAACATTTTCATTTCTATCATTATTAGTTAAAGATATTTGTTGTTGTTTTTTTTTTGTTTTATTTACCTTGGAAAACATAATAGTAAAATAATTATTCTATTTTGTACAGATATCCGACTATTCAGTAAAAATATTATAAAGTAATTAGATTAAAAATTTAAAATAAGGGATGTACTTAACTGAAGACTTACCAAATGTACACATTATGTATTCAAAATATATTGTTTTTGGTAATATATATGTTTAGTAATATATATTCTATGCTTCTAAAATAACAGAAGAAGAATCAAATATATCATCCTTGTCGTTCAAAATAGAGAAGATATTAAACATGCATCACCTCTCTCAAATTTATCCATTGTTATGAGTACAAATTTGAGGGTAAAATGAATGAATGAAATATATACATAAAACAGGTGTTCTATATCTCTTTAACTATAGTAATATATATATATATATATATCTATAAACGAATTTTACCTATACTCTTTGTATGATTTAATATTTCTGTATTTCTTTCTTCTTCGGTTGAGTGTTATTTGTTCGTTTGTACCATCAAATATGTGTCTGCATTAATCAACGATTTATAAATAACAAAAAAACCCTAATATATGTGTAGTATTGTGATAAAACAAACAATATAATTGATGATAAATGTATTTTGGAAATAATTTCGAACGATTATTTTGCATAATTTTTATTTTTTTTTTCTCTTTTTTTTTGATTCCCTGGTATGTTCTCTACCTTAAATATAACAGACACATCATTTTATATCAATAATTATTCAGTCTTCTTCTTCGATAGATCGGTTTGTCTAGTTGTTTGCTTGTTGAACAAAAATAAATATAAACGCGACGAAGAAAAAGAAGAATAAAGAGATATTTAAATAGAGAAAAAAGAGTAAAGATTAAAATTTAGAATAGTAATCGTAATATAAATGATAGATATATAAATGATTGTCAATTGTATTTTGTTTATAACTGTTTGTGTTTAGGAGAAGACAAAAATATTGCGTCTCTTCTCAAATGTAATAAATTTGGAAAAAATAGACATTATATTGAGCAAATTAGCTCATCGATGAAACAACTGAAACAAAATAAACAGAATTAGAAAAATGTGAAATTTTTTTTTCGTCTTTTTAATGGTGAAATGCCATTTTTCGGTAAATGTACATTTCTTGATAGATCGATTGCTATAAATTCTAAGTTAAAATTTCTTTCTGAAGACTTATTGATAGTTATTATATGTTGAATTTGGTATTTTTATAACATTATGATAAATAATTGGTTAATTTCATTCTAAGTTTCAATTTCAACTCTTAAAAAATCTTCAAGTAACAAAAAAACACATTTAAAAAGTTTTATCCACTGGAGTTGTTGCCTTCTCTCTCTCTCTCTCTCTCTGATTGACAAAATAGAGAAACAAAATATTTTCGTCAACTTCAAACAAAAGTTAAAGTTAAACTTTAACTGTCTTAGCATGTAAAATAGGATCGAAAGTCACGCTGTACTTAAAACAGTTGCAACTAGCAAAATATTACAGGTTTGAAAATACATCTAAAGAATGTCTCAATGAAAAATCTTATGATAAAAAGTCTCATTTTACTAAAAGTCACCTTTTATGCTTATGACCTAAAATAGTGAATTTCTTCCCTTAAAAAAATCAGCAAGAAAAGTCTGAATATTACAATAATAGCACTCAAATATTTGTCATCATTCATTCATGGAAAAATTATTCTCATGCCATAGTCATTTTTCCAGCACATTCATCAAAATTCTAAGGTTTTTTTTTCTAGAACAGTTTAGATAACGAGAGAATTAAAAGATTTCTGATCATAAACATCTATTCGGCTTTGTTAGTTAATTTTATTAGTAAAAATCTGTTATACTTTTTTTTTCTCTTATAAATTTTCGAAGAACAAGATGTTCAGAGCCTTGGAACACTGAAATTTTCTGACAAGTTTTAAAAATTAGATTTTTTGGTGAAAGATCGTGTAGAGTGCGGATATATCTTAAATTCTTCAGGAATACCTCTCCTTTTAATCTGAGATGTTTTATAGTTTTGGACTTCTTATTGTTCGAAAATTATAAGAGAAATAGAACATGAAAAAATTCGTAATAATTACCCGATTTAGCTAATAAAATTCTGTTGGTATTATATAAAAATTTATTAATATTACAGAAAAATCCTGCCTATACTTAGATTCTGACATGAACTTTTAAGTTCACCGTACAGTATGAGAGCGTGTTGATTAACTAGCCAACTTACCACCGAATACGAGATAGGCGTATAAATAAATTGTTAAAAGAAAATTTAAAATGCTTAGAATCATTGTTGTATGATAAACGCAGGTCTAGTCAAAATAAAGAAGCGCAATTGTCTCTCAAACTACTTCTTTTTTCTCATTAAAAAGAAAATGATACGTTTATATATTTGAATATGAATTGAATAAAGCTTATATCAATATGAATATATATAACTTGTCGAAATTTGAAACAATCATTTCAAATTATAATAGTGACAGATTCACTGCGTTTACGTTCAAATTATCAAAAAACCAAACCACTTTCTTTTTTTTGAATGAAGAGAGATAAACGTTTATAATAACTAAGCAAAGTTATATTAAAAAGAAAAATAGAATTTTTTTTTTTCTTCTTCTTCTTCTTCTGTACTTTTAATCTTAGAATAAAACTATCACTTTATTATTCATAAAATTGTGTGATTTTTAAGATAGATAGGATAGAACTTTAATACGAATGAAATAATAATAAAATATATAAAATATCTAAATAAAAATGAATAAAGTGTTATGTTCAATGTGGCGAAAAGGTAGGAATGACCGTTTTATCTTATTTTTTTTAAAATGAATAAGAGAAAACGGATCAAAAACGACAAAATATAGGCGTGAAATGAAAGTAGAAAAGACTCTTGATTTAACTTGGTTATTTTTTACTTTTATCATACATTTCAGTTGTATTGTAATGAAAAATAACAGGATAAAAATCTTCTATGATCTTGATTGTTCGATATATGTATGTGTTATCGCACTCTTCTTTAGGTAGATATCCATTTTACTAAACGATCAGCATATATAATAGTTGCATGTTATTTTTGCTCTTACAACAAACAATGGTTTACTCTCACTTATTTTTATACTTTTATCAAAAAAAAAAAAATTGATTTAAACATTAACGATGAAAATTTCTCTAAACATACGTACATTCTTCTATCTTGATAGTTACTTTCAAGAAAAAAAAATATATTTTAAGTACAAATTATAGTACATCTAACTTGTAAAGTATTGAAGAAAAAAAAGAGACATTTAAAAATCTACGAATAAAATTGTAAATGTTTAAAAGTGAACGAAAAATATAGTTCATAAAAGTTTAAGAAAGTCAGTTGTATTCTTACATTTTGTAAGTGACTATAGAAAACGAATCTTGCCTCTATTAATTCATTATATACCGATATTAGCCGAGAAAAGATTTTCTACTTTTTTTTTTTTTGCTTACACATATTAAACAATTGATATCTTGAAAAATACAATTGTCTTACCATTAGGAGTTTTCAAATTCGATTAAAGTTACATATACCACTAAAACGTGTGTGAATTTTTCTTTTTTTTTTTTTTTATAGATACTATGCTAATAACCAATTTGGTTAGTATAGACTGAGATACGGCGACAGATAGAACGAATATGGTGTTCAACAATAATAGAAACTTTACGTATTCACCTACTTACTTGAGAATATTGTCCAATATATTTTCCTACTCTATCATTATTTATCGATTAGATAAAAATATAAGTAAAATCAAGAACTATAGAGAAAATGTTCACATGAATCAACGGTATACCTAGAGATGCATATAATCAACAACAAGTTTTATTTCTTTTTATCACATTATAGTTACACACAGTTCGTTAACAATAT